TCAATTAGATTATAAAATGGTATGCAAGTACTAGTCTGTTTACCATATACAAAGATGTAATGACGTTTACACACATCTGCACAGGGACTCAGGGGACCAACACCCATAAGATTGCTGATTGGCTGCTCTAACCTCTTTGTGCCTTCTAGGTTTCTCATCTATTATTTCCAGCTACCACAGCCAGTGTTGTTTTAAAAAAAAAAGAAAAAAAAAGATTAGGTGGGTCAGTTTATCTGACCACTAAAGCACTCTGCCTCCACAATAAGATTACAAATGATTTCAAAAAGAAAAGAAAAGCGAAACTAATGTAATTGTTAGACTCCACACAGTAATATGTTTCATAGTGTGGAAAAAAATGTAATGGTAACAGATGATGATGACCCTGACTCAATATAAGTCCACTCTCTGTATCTTTTAATCCCTTTAGCATGAATGTGATCAGACAGCCCAAACAGTCTCAGAGCTTTAGAAATACTGAAACGAATGATTTGGGGAGAAAAACTATTTTTTTCATATTTTCAGGTTGCTTACAAACATTCATCTTTGCTTTTTTTTCTTTTTTCTCTAGCCCCTCCATATAAGTCTTTCCAATACTTTCAGTTTTCACCGAGGCAGGTGTGCGACTGACTTTTCCAAATCACCCATGTGTGAAACAGCTTGAATTAGAACCACTATCACATACAAAGGAAACTAAACCTCATCAAGTAGTTTCTCCCTGTTTTCATGGGGTCAAAGACTGCACGAGGACTCTCACTGGACAAAAGGTCCTGTTTGGCAAGTGTTTCTGCAATATGTAAAACACGGACAAATGAATCAACTCCCTTTTTTAAATAAAGTAAAGCAATGGAAGGACCTTCAGGACCTCTGAGCTCACTATGTTTAATAATTACCTTCACTGGATATTCATTCTGCTGATTCGAGTGTTTTGAGGAGAATCTTAGCAGGAAAGGTCAAACAGTACTTGTAATGCAGCGGTGGGTGATCACACATCCACTGTCACTTACATCTCTAGAGTGGAGCAGCTGCAGATTACAGTGCTGTTAAATGCAATTCATTACACATTAGCATTTTACCACAGTGCTGCAGTTATTGACTGTACTACAGTGTGCATCCCCATAAACTACATGCTGTGCAAATGCAAGACGGTGTAGGTGTGTATGAATTATTTGTTACTGCTCGAGTAAACATTTGAAAGATATGAAAGAAGTAGAGTAATGTATACACTGTACATTTGGATATTATTGATTAATTGTTGGATGGAGAGAACCCAGATTTGGTACTGTGTAAGTCTTACTGTTTAAAATGTATATTTAATTTAATGAAGCCTAAGCTCCACTAAATTGGTGCATTAATTAATAACAGAAAGAAGAGCCCTGAAACACTAACAGATATTTACTGTAATACAAAGAATGCAAAATATTCTGCTGAATATATAATATAACCTATTTTGCACAATATGGTCTAAAATATGTATAACCACTCCTTTATATGTAACTCTATTGCTATGAAGTAAGAGGAAGGACACATTGTTTACATATTTGAAAAAAAGTGCAAATAGTACTACTTTTATTTACTAGTACCATACCTACCATACCTATTTAACAGAATAAGTGAGTCAGCAGAGTTGTACCTGCAGGATTAAGATTTAAGGCATGTAAACTGTATCTTGTAGTTTAATCCATTGATGACTGCTGTTAATATATGAGACAGATGCAACAGATGAGCAAAATAGCATCAGATTTTATTGATGCAACTTCATTGGACTTTCATCTGTCCATCCTAGAATAGATGCTAGGATGATGGGAAAGCTAGCTGGAGGAGGGGATGTGAGTGTTGAAAGTGTTGAACAAAGACTAGACTAGGACTAGTAGTGATATTACACTGTGAAAAGGAAACAAAACTAACTAAAAATGTCTGGGAGTATGGGCCATATGGATAGATGATCATCTTTTGTTTAAAAAGTTGGGCACTAAAACTTCCAACTTGCCCTGCTAGCAAACTGGCTTACAAAACTTTTGATGAGATCTCAGACGTACTAAAGAGGCTTTTAAATCTAACACCTCTGGCGATAGCTGAATGGTTCAGGTTTTACAAAAGGAATGAGTCAAATATTGAATTCATATTGGAGTATATGGCAGAGCTTCATAGATTAGGAGAGCATTGCCATGTCGGGGAGTACGCACTAAGGAACAGGCTTGTGTGTGGACTGAGCAATGAGGCCAATCTGAAATGGCTTTTTACAGAATATAGACTAACATTGACTTGCAATTTGGAAATTTCCATATTTATGGAAAACACAGCACATAAATTAGTACACAAAACTCAGACTTGATTAAAGTGTTAAAATGTTGCACCATCCTGCAGATTTCTGGTTTAAGGATAAAAGTTGCAGGATGGGCAATAAAATAGGGTACATAGAGAAAATATGTAAATTAAAGACAGACAAAGAAAACAAGAATCAAGGACAAGAAGGTACAGAGGTAACATGAGAGACTCAAATGAGGATGATTTGTCAGTGACAGAAGTTATATGGCTGACACCTAATGTTTACAGAGTGCCATGAAAGATGAAACTAGGCAGTGGGTCAGTGCTCACATCCAGGAAAATGTTCCTAAACTCAACCTGAAATATACAAATGTGGGATTGATAACTTACACAGGAGCGACAATCACAATACTGCAAAAGCTGAAGTTAAAGGTGAAATATAGGCACATATATGTCTCTTTGGCATGAGATAAAATGTTAGGTTTTGTA